GAGCCAGCAGTGCACCCTGGCAGCCAGGCAGGGCAACAGCATCCTTGTGGCTACAGCAACAAGGCTAGCAGGTTGAGGGGAGCAGTTATTCCCCTCTACTCAGCACTCGGCTGAATGCTGTGTTCAGTGTTGAGCCCCTAATACAAGGAAGACGTTGGCACCTGGAGTGAGTTCAGCAGAGGTCCCCAAGATTTTCAAGGAGCTAGAGAACTTGCTGTGAGGAGAGGCTGAGAGACTGGCGCTCAGAGATGAGATGGCTTTGGGAGGACCTAACAGCAGCCCCCCAGTACCTGTAAGGAGTTTATTGAGAAAAGCTATGCATAGTGGAGGATGAGAGACAGAGGGCATAAATTGAAATAAGAGAGGTTCAGACTGGAAATGAGGGGAAAAAACTTTTCCCACGAGGACAGTCAAGCAGTGGAGCAGGTAGTCCAGGGAGGTTGCACAGTCTCCGTCCTTGGAGGTTTTCAAGACGTGACTGGACAAAGCCCTGAGCAACCTGGTGTGATCCCATAGCTGACCCTGCTTTGAGCAGAAGGTTGAACTAGAGACCTGCTGAGGTCCCTTCATGGAGTAAAATGTTTATTCTCGGAGATTCAAAGTGGCAGTGTCTGATTTAGAGTAAGCGTGAAAAATCCTATACATTTTTTTTGGTTTGTTTTAAATACATGTAAGTTTGTCCTGTGTTTGGACAGCATCTAGTGAGTCCCAGCTGGGTTGAGACCATGAAGCTACACAACAGTACCAAAAACATGGGAAATTTGAAGACAACTATTTTTCCTGTGTTTGAGTTAGTCCCTCTGCTTTCTCTGGATGTAGGTTTACAAATCATGATAAAAAGAATGATTTCCTAACAGAAAATAATGATCAGAGTACTTCTTGATTAATGATTTCGGCTGGTCATGGAAGCTTTTTATTACAGATTTGCTAGTTGACAGCTAGCAGTGAGAACTCCTGACGTTAGCAGCTTAATCTTTGCAGTAATGTGAGGCTCCAAAGAGTAGACACCCAGTTATTTTAATTAAGAAAAAAAGAAAACTTCCTTTGTGAAACAATTCTTTTACAGTTTTCTTTAAAGTGCTTCCTTCTGTCACAAAGTCTGCAACTGTGGAAATTAAAGTTTCTGGTTTGGAAAACATGGGTAATGTTTATGAAGCACCAGTGCCTGTTTAGCAAGACAGTAAAGTTTTGCAAAATTAAGATGATGAAACAAATAATAGATTTCCTGGACTCACTTGGCCAAACATGATGTGAAGTATGTATCTCTGTTTTATGATGTCAGCCTCAAATCAGGATGAGGATTGAGACCAGTTACACTGGCTACATTAGCTCTCTGCAAATACTCCTCCTCAGTCATAGGGACCAAATGACTATTTAGAAAATGGGCTACAAATCTGTTACTTTCTCAGTAAGGAGAGCCTCTGTTCATATCACGGCACACAGGTGAGGGCCACAGAAAGCGAACATAGCGTCCAGGCAAGACAATGCGGTGAGCTGCTAGCTCACCTTTGTTAGGTTCATGAGTTGGAGGGTTTGGGCATAGCCATTTTTTTTCACTTGCAAGCAAGGAGACAGAGTCCACAGCCTCCTAACTGAAAGCCTGCTAACTAATTATGAAATGTGTCACTAGTTACTCGAGTAAAATCTGAGGACCTAAGGTTGTAACGAGCTTTAGAACTTCATCTTTTCCTTTGGGAAGAGATGAGTGGTTGTTGATTTTTAATCTATGAAAGTACTTCCTGGGTTTAATTTCAAAAAAAAAAAAAAAAAGCAGCAATGACTTCTAAAAAGTTATTTTGAAACAAGAAGCACAAAGTGAAATTGAGAAATCATTTCTGCAAGTAAAAATTTGTTTGAGTTTCTGTGTAGTATTGATTATTATTCCAGTGTATGTAAGCATTATTTTAGTAGAGGATAACAGAATCACAGAACGGTTGAGGTTTGAAGGGACCTTTAAAGATCGTCCAGTCCAAACCCCTTCTCCAGCAAGGTCAGCTAGAGCAGGTGGCCCAGGACCATGTCCGGACAGCTTTTGAATAATATCTCCGAGAACGGAGACTCCATGACCTCCCTGGGCAACCTGTTCCAGTGCTCGGTCACCCTCACAGTCAAGAAGTTTTTCTACTTCAGTTTGTGCCCATTGCCCCTCATCATTATCAGTGGGCACCACTGAAAAATGTCTGGCCTCATCCTATTGACACATTCCCTTCAGATATTTAAATGCATTGCATTGACAAGATCCCTCCTCAGTCTTCTCTTCTTCAGACTAAACAGTCCCAGCTCTCTCAGCTTTTCCTCATAGGAGAGATGCTCTAGTGCCTTAATCATCTTAGTAGCCCTTCGCTGTACTTGCTGCCATAGCTTCATATCTCCACTATACGGGGGAGCCGAGAACTGGACACAGTACTCCAGGTGAGGCCTCCCCAGGGCTGAGTAGAGGGGCAGGATCACCTCCCTCAATCGGCTGGCAATGCCCTTCCTAATGCAGCCCAGGATACCATTGGCCTTCTTGGCCACAAGGGCGTGTTGCTGGCTCATGGTCGGCTTGGTTCACCAGGACTACCTGGCCCTCTGCAGAGCTGCTTTCCAGGAGGTCAGCCCCCAGCCTGTACTAATACATGGGGGTTATTCCTCCCTAGGTGCAGGATCCTGCACTTGCTCAGGAAGTTCCTCTCCACCCAGCTCTCCAGCCTGTCCAGGTCCCTCTGAATGGCAGCACGGCCCTCTGGTGTGTCAGCCACTCCCCCCAGTTTTGTATCATCAGCACACTTGCTGAGGGTGCACTCTGTCCGTTCGTCCAGGTCACTGATGAATTTGAGGGATTGTTTTGTTTTGTTTTGTAAGATGAATATGGGGGACATCAAAACAGTAGAATAGGAATGGAGTTTGCCTTGACTGTAGTGAAGATAAGGCATTACCGAGCGGAAATTGTGCTGCATCTTTCTGAAGAATTGCTCTAAACTCCTGATACTCTATGTAAAAATCAGTTTGGCTATACCTGAATGTGAAACTGCCCCTCCCCTCAGCCCTGTAGATGGATGTACTTAACTACATACAGATCCACAAAACAGGATACATATTTGTGACCTTTACATCAGCAGCCTTCTCTCACTGGGATTGCTTGCAGAAGAGTCTGGCTGTTAAGCAGAAGGCAGACTAATCCTTTCAATCCAAAAACACTACATGTGGAACAAACTCATGCTCGTGTAGGTAAGGGTATCATTTGGCCGACTCAGAGGATCATATATTGCAGTTGCATTGCAGTCCTTCCTCCCTTCATTGGGAACAGGTTTTGTTCATCTGCAGCAAAGCAGTGCCAGGCTGCCAGGCTGTGCTCTCTGAGAGAGGATGGAGTTGTTCATTCAGGTCACTTCGCTGAAAAGATGTGCTCTTTCCTACCACAAAGGTATTCCCTTTCGTTAAACCGTCACCTATAACTTGATCATTTGTTCTTTCTTATGTGCAGAAAATGTGGCCTGAGCCAAATGAATTGCTGAACAGGATGCAATCCCTTCAAATAGATGCTGTAACAGAAGATTCCAGTAATGGTCAAGTAGGTAAGTGTTCTCAGTCACTTACTAGCGCATCATTATGCCGCATATTCTGCTTAAGATAAAGTTGTGAACATATAGAATTTATGAGGAATTTTACCAGTAGGTGTTTATGAACAGACGCAGTTATTCAGGACATCAGAGAGAATTGTATTCACTGAAAAGATTGAATTTGTTCCTAGACTCCCAAAAGTCATAGTCACTGTTTCAAAATTTCCAGCATCTATGGTTTGAAGCTTTTACTTTACATTCTTCTGCTTTCATCTCCCATGCAGAAAATTCCCTTTTACGTTTGATTTTTCAGGGGCTACTTTGATACTTGCTTTTCATACTTGATCTTTCTTCCCTTTTCTTTAGTCATGCCAACAAACTTTTGCATTTTCTGCAGGCTTCAGTTCCGTGAAGACTTTTCTTTTTCCCACTCCAACCTTTAATACGAATGTCCCGCATACAGCTAGGACACAGGATTAGAAAGGACTGCTTTGTTTATGAGCTTGCTCTCTATGGAATCTGTCTGAGGAGTACTGATAGATGAGTCTTCTCTCCTCCTGTCGTATTTTCTGTCAAGACTTGCTTGAGTTGCGTGCTTCACAGTTTTACAGAGCTATCTCATTAATATGTCATGATGTAATTAAAGTTGTGTGGTAGCATGTCTGGAATTCTTTCACCAAAGTTTCTTAGTGACAAAGGATATAGGATCTTATTTGCAACACTGACTTACAGGCAGCATAGGAAATTCAGTAGAAATGAAATGCTGCTAAGTTTACTCATACCATTTTACAGATAGTTTTAAGAGAATGACATTAAACTGTAACATGCAACTGTTAAATCTTCTCCAAAGCTACGCTTCCAATAACTATTCTTCAGGTGAACTAATGGATTTAGTAGGGCAGCCCCACTGTTATGTTTTTAAATGAGTATAGTTAAATTTCTTTCTCAGAAATAGTCAAATGTGACAGCAGCAGATTACAGTTGCTCTTGTGCTTCAAATATGAAAGGTTTTATTGTGGATCTATGCTGCAGAAAGATGCTGTCTTGTCAGCCTGTCAGTCAAAGTCAATTTTTTCTCCAGTCAATGGGCATTACTCAGATAGTAGTAGTGAAAGATATTGCAGAGGGAGGACCTGCTCATATATCTCAAGCTTACTCTGGAGAATGGATGCCATTATGATAATTTCAAATTGCTAATAGCTGCCATTTTTGATGAGGTTGTTTCTGCATTAGCTTATTCCTCCCACTCCTCCTCTAGCAGTGGTAACAGTAGAAGTAGAGCAAGTCAAACTGAAGGTGTACTAGTATGCAGCCATCAAAAGGAAATAGTTTTGGTCCTGCCTAATCTGGACTGAATTCATGTAATTTGAAGATCAACAGTTCACTGGCATTATCTGAGCTAATTAGAAACACACACTTTATGGTCTACTTTTACAGTGGTTTGTGAGCATCCCTTACCTTCAGCAATGCACAGGATTTTCTAGACAATGTTGAAGATTTCAGAACTCTTTAAGAAAGCCTCTTCAGTCCTGCATTTAAAAAAACAAAAGCAGGGAATGATAAGCAGATTTTTACGTTCTTGTTTAGTCCTGAAATTCTGCAACATGATCTAGGTCAGAACTCAAAACAGTCCAGTTCAGCACTGAAGTAGAGCTTTCTTTGATGCTGAGAGTTAGTTTGAAAGATTTAGGTGACACAAACTCCATTTTATCTGGTAGATGTTACTTGTGAAAACATATTCTTTGATACTCTGAAGAATAAACGAGATAAAATAAAAAGGATTAATCAAGGCTCATGAACTACCCAGAAGTGATATTTTGCATAATTTTTTTGGAAAACATGACTTTAATGACAAATTTTTTTATGCTGTATGAAGTAACACCTGTTACAGTGGGTCCTATTCACCATTGCGTTACACTCCAATTTTGCACTGATTGAACTTTTTGCTGCAGTGGTTGAGAACTTGACATCAATATAACCAGAGTATGCAGTGAATTCTGACGCCGCTAGAGTGAAAGAGATTTTGACGCTGATAGCTTAAATAAGCTTGTGCGTTGTAAATGTAAATCTGTAATCCTTCCCTATAAAGGCATTATAAAATAAAACACAGCTTATGCTGGAAGTGATGTTATGTTTTCACATTTAACAAATTACCTAATATTAAGAACAGATGTGTTGATTCCAGTGTCATTGCAACAAGTTATGTATTTCAAATATTTAATTTTCCTCCCTTACAGATCAGCCTAATTCTCTACACAGCTCTCAGGGCCCCATGACCAGCCAGGTGAATGAAGCCCTGTTTGCTGCCTCTTCTGAGAACCAGCCTGTTGAGAGTTGTGAGACCTCATTTGTGTCCACCGAGAATCTGGAAAGAAAACTTCAGCATGAATACAACTACCATATGTTTGGCAGCTGGATGGATAAATCAGTAGTTCCACCTGTAGCGTACACTCCTGAAATGAGAGAGGAGGAAAGGAGACGAAGGGTTTCCTATGATCCATTTGCAAAGCCATCTCATGCTCCACAAAGGAGCGAACTCTATCCAAGAGTTGAAAACACAGGATCAAACACTAATCCTTATTTTCGGCCACAACCAGCTGCAACAGCACCAACATGGGGAAATTTAGATAATTTTTATGGGCCAAACCCTAACAGTTTCCTAGCAGGAAATACAGAAGATCTCTATGGATCATGTTCAGCCAGTTCATTTAGCCTAAACAAACCTCCTGTGCCTGAATCTGGCCCAAACCCGCAGTTACAGAGCACTGTAAATTGGCATCCTAAGAATACAGACACAGATACAGGTAAGACTCCTCCTCCCTCAAACCCTCTGGGTCTGAAAACACACTTGTTCTCTTAAAAATGAAATGGCCATGATTGTTTTGTAGCTTATGCAACAACCTGCTTATTGCTAACGCTGATCCATGATAGAACAAGGGCTTACGTATTTCATCAAGTTCTCTTTGTTTATTTAATGTCACTTCAGGTCACTAAAATGCTCTGGTTTTGATTTCCTTATACCTGCTTTCACTGATCTCAGACTGTTAACTTCAAATGAATCATTTCTAAATCACCAGTGTAATAGAGGAGCATCAGATCCAGTGTCTAACTCTTTAGCTACCAACTTAATAATAGCAGACAACAGCTGCAGCAGCTATGGTGAGAGCATCAAAACCAAGAGCTGTCACCAATTATGCTAGGAAAGCAAAAAAGTACTTTTAACTCACTGAATGTAACATTCACACCATGTATGGGCAGAACCTAGAATTTACTCATACGTTTGTAGTCTTTCAGAAAGTAGATCTTTTTTAGCTTAATCTGTAGCAAAGTATGAGATTCCTGAGTTCAGGGGGCCAACTGGGAACCAGGACTCATAACTGGATACCCTGGAGAGCTTTGTCCAGTGCTATTGCGGAGCTTCTCTCAGTATTTGCTAGTGAACTATGGCATAGCAAGGTATGGAAGCAAAGCAAGAAGAGAATACTGAGAATTTAGAAAAAAGTAAAAACGAGTGGTCAGTAACCAGAGGCATTTATGACTTATCTTTTAGGAACTGGATGCTCCTACTACAGTATGAGATATGTTAGTCTGCTTCTACTAGATACTGAATATTTCTAGTGGGGCATTCCTTTCCAGAGCTTCTCACAAGGAAATCAATGGCTTGTTGACAGGCATAATGGCACAAAGATGCCATTCTGTTAAATTATGTAAGCAGGGTTTGTGATTAGTTGCTCACATGAGGTTACTTATGACATGAATCTGAGAGCTGTCATGTCAGGAAGCAAGGATTAGAACATCACTAATAAAATAACATCCTTTAAAAAGAAAAAAGAAGGAAGTTAATAAGCACGCAATGGGACAGGAGATGTCAGTCTGAGATTCAGAGAACCTGCACAGTAGCTCTTCCATTGACTTGCTGGGTGACTATAACCCAGTCGCTCTTACTGGCCCAACATGAATTGCCAGAGCTCCTCTGGGGGCGTCCTAAGAAATTAATACCCTGAGCAGAAAGTTACATCTCTGCTGGATATAACTGTCCCCAACAGCTGGAAGCAGCAGCAGCCTGTTTGGGAGCCTTCTTGGTTTGGAATTTTCAAATATGAATACCTGATACGGGGCACCTCAGTCCGTAACTATGCTCTGATCCTGTGCGGCCATCTTCTAGCCTGGTATTCATGCACCTGCGTGGAACACCATCCTCCTGTCTGGGCCACAGGTGGTTACTTTGCGGTTAGTCACTGAGCAAACCATGGTGAGGGTAGTTACTTTAATAAGAGTTATTAAAGGAGATAAAGTCCTGTTAATTAAAAAGCTTCCTGTCTTTTTGCATACAGCAGCAGAATGTACTCATACTATTACAAATATTACAGTCGTTCCTACGTATGTTTGCATTTTTTAAAAATACATAATGTTATCTGCATTTTTGTTTTTTCTCTTTGTTTAGGTAAAAAGGATTCACATTCTTTCCCAAGGGGAACTTTTACATACTATCCTAGTGCACCTCAGTTACCCAGAATAAACACAGGCAAGTGCTGTAGCCTTATCTGTCTTGGTAGCCCACAGGGTATGCGTTGCATCTTGAGCAGGAAAGCAAGTATCTTCAGGACCTTCAAATACTTTATGTGAATGCTTAATAGCTCTAACTATAGCAGAAGTTAGCAGTACCAGTATCTAGAATTAATTCTTGTCTCTAGCAGGACCTGTATTCACAGCTGAATGTGTATTTGATGGATTAAGAACTTTATCCCCTCTGACATAAGATAGCATTTAAGAAAATGAAGGCTTTGTCCTATCCCCTGGACAAATACTAAATGCATTTAGTCAGGTTTTCATATGTGACCACAGATTTCTGTGCATCAGACTGCAGTGGAATGCATAACAAGGGTTTTTGTGCATCTAACCATCCATTTGGGTGGCTAAATAGAGAACTGGGTCTATCATTTGAAGTGTCTGTACTTCAGATTTAGATATACGCTGTGATATTTGCCATTTAGACTAGCATTAGAACATTTAACAGACGATTATCCAAGTAGAGTTTGGCAAACATTATCAGGGGAATAGAAAACTCATGTCACCGAACAGGACAAATTCTAGGCATTTAATTTTATTCAGGGCATGCACGTTGGACAACTGCAAGCAAAAGACACCAGATTAGGTAGTCAACTGCAAGTGGACTGTAGATGCAAACTCCTGGAGGTGCATACCATTTAGCTGTGCATTTGTTCGCCCGTTGGTGCATGTACCTGTCAGCTTCTGTTGCTCTGAGGATACAGGCCTTCAAATAAATGTACAGGTGTATTTCGTAAGGTGTCTTAGAAAATGTTCTAGCGGAGCGGACAAAAAAATCTTCAAAAAGGTTGTTGAAACAAAGACTTCATTTTCTGTACAAATAGGTAAAAGCGAGCACTCCATTTCTTTATAACAGGAGTGAGGTACATTGTGAAAGAAAGCGATGCCAGCAAGACACCCTAGCAGAATGTGGGGTATGGAAGACTCGTGAGCAAACAAAGATGATTTTTTGTACTCTCATAGAACTTTGAAATCATAAGCATAAACCTGGACTTGCATCTATGAAAACTAAACCTGAGAGGCAAAAGTAAGGCTTCAAAACTGAGTATTTGTAAAATGAGAAGCACTTTCAAGTAAAGGCTGACCTCCTGAGGATGTTATCAAAGAAAAAGTGGGGCTGTTTTTATGCAGTCTTGAAGTGCAGGGCACAGTATTTACAATCTAGTAACTACTAGCATATGAGGCTTGGTTATGGCACTTCAACATAGAATAGGACAGACTTTTCACTGAAGTACATTAATGTCACACTGCAAAATGAAAATACGCTCACAGTTACCAGTAAATGGCCATTTCTACTTCAAATGCAGTAAAAGCATTTAATCACTTTTGTGATTACTGCAAGCTTCCTCCTTACCCTTCACGTATTACTTCTTGACACGTGGAACCATATGCAGTTGTTGATAAATTTGTGTTGGTTTCCCTGATTTCCCTTATACAGAAGATTCAATTAAATACAACATAAGTAACAGTACTGGAATTCAAATCGGATCCTACAATCACATGAAGATTGAAGAGCAGAATCAACACATAAGCACATCTCCTGTCGCAGAAACATCTTATTCCTATTATGAAGCAATGGGTATATTTGGTAAGAGAAATATCTCCCTATTTTTGAAGTATTCTCCCCTTATAGTGTGCCTGTGAGAATCATTTGTTTTGGAATATGTGAAAGCAGTACAGCTTTCTCCCTCCAATACCTGAAAAATAACTGCTTGGGTCCTTCTCAGCTATGTAGCATAATACCCAACCCTGAAAAAAAGCAAGTAATAGTTTATGATAATACTCTTCTGTAATACTAACGGGGGATCTCACTTGTCCAGTAGTTTCATGATCTCATATGAGAAACCAAATGCAAGTATGGAATGTGTGGCATCAAGAACCAAGCAATAATGACAGGAAATTCAATAGAAGCAGGGTCCGGATTGGTGGCCCTCACCTGACTTGTAGTTTTAGTATTTCAGTTT